CCCCAAAACCCCAAAACCCCAAAACCCCAAAACCCCTGAGATTTTATTTAAAGAATATAATAAAATAAATTATGGAAACTAAACCTCCTCTAAGATTACAGACCTCTCCAGCCAAGCTAGAAGGGCATAAACAAGAGAAGGTTGATCTAATCTCAGACGTTGTTAAATTTGTCGCAGAGTTAAATGAAAGTAGATATGAAGGAGATACAATCTTGATCACATTACAAAGATTGCTCTCTTCTTCATTTGTTGAAAAATCAGAGTATGCAAAAGAAATGGATAGAGTGTTAAAAAGACAAGATTTAGATCTGCTTCATCGGAATTTTGATAGACTCAATACAACAGTTGATAAAATTGACATTAAAGTCAACAAACTTGAAAGTTTCATAGATGATATACAGAAAGATGTGAGAAATCTTCAGTTTGAAGTTAATAGAAAATCAGATAAAACTGAGTTTAAAATTCTTAAAGAGACAATGAAAAGTTTACCAAGAGAGGATGAAATAAAAATGATAAGATCCAAGTTATTAAAAACTGCATCTCTAGATGATCTGTATGACGTCAAAAGCAGAATGTCTATCGTAAATGAGAAGATGGAAGAGTTTATGACAAAGAAATTCTTTAGCAAAGGCATGCATAATGTAAAGAAGGACTTGGATGTCAAAATTTCTCAATTTATTTCTAAAAGAGATGCTATTAAAATAGTTGATAAATAAATCACATAAGTTACTGGATAAATTGCAAGATATTGACATTGAAATAAGAAAAATACCTCAAGCTTTCCAATCAATTGATGGAATGAAGAGTCATCTTAAGAACACCGTCCTGAAAAGAGATTTTGCCGATGAAAAATAAAAAGGTTGATGAATTCATTTCAGAAATGAGATCTAAATGCTTATTAAAGCCAGTAATTTTTTCTTTATCTTTAGCATCTAGAGTCACACAAATCAGAAATACAATCTTTTGTCCAAACTTGATATGAAAAGCTTCAGGAATACACTAAAGATAATAAGCAAGCTAAAATGATATTGAGGAACTTTGATGAAGTTCTGATCGAAAAGGCTTCTAAATTCAGTATAGAAGAACTTCAGCTCAAAATCAAAGAGTTAGCTAATACAGAGCAGGTTAATGAACTTAAGCAATACTTCAACTTTAAACTTCAAGACACCAATATAGTCATAGATAAACTTAGAGAACACGTGAATGAAAATAAAAACGATGTATTAGGTATCATCAGTAGAGAAACTGAATCTATTCAAAAGCATTTAAAAGAAAAGATTAAAGAATACCTTCTCTCAAAAACAATATCTCCAGAAGAGGTTCAAATGATGCTATCTAATAAGGTGGATAAGAACGAAATTGTTGAAGTTAAGGAAAATAAAGCTGATAAATCTCAAATTCAAAATGGGGAAGAAAAGCATAAATTATTTGCTAAACAAATGCAACATCTTTCAGTACTAATCATTGAATTAGCAAAGATAGCGAGCTTAGATCTTGATCCAAATAGTCCGTTATTGAGTAATGCCAAATACTTGCTCCAACAATCTCACAAAGTGTTTGACTGGATAAAATGATTCTCTAAGAAATCTGCTCCAGGTATGCTTTCATTCAACTAATAATTTCTCCCAGGATTAACAATCTTAATACAGAACCCAACTTATTGGACATAAAGAGAAATACTGAAGATGGTTCATTAATAAAGGTCAGATCGATAATAACAAAGAAAATGCTTAAGAGTACTCAGAATAGTCCTAGGAAGGACGAATTATTCCATTCTTTCAGGTCTAACTCTTCAAGAAGATGTTTACATAAAGAAGGAGAAGTTCAATTATTCAAAGATATGGCTGATCATCCGATTGTAAAAGCAAAGAAGAAAATGGTATACAGAAGTAAAAGGAAAGAATCAAAAGATTTCTTAAATTTAAGTAAATTTAAGGTTAGCATGACTCAAAATCTTTTTTCTCAAAGAAGTGAGAGTGTAAATTTAAGGAAAAGACCTTATGTAAACATTAAAAGCGAAAGCAAGAGATTCAGATCCAAAAAGCTTGATAACACTGATGAGGAGGATTTTTTAAATAGCTTCTCTAATTTAAAAAGGAGCTTAAAGAATGAGCTAGGTATATAATTATCTATAATATCTCCTATTATACTTTACTTATAGTTAATAAATAACAAAAACAATTTAGTTAACTTAAATAACTCTGAATACTGAAACGAAAAGTCCTGTTTTTTAAAGAAGTTTGTTACCATTTAAAAGAACAAATAATAGAAAATATATCTATTATTTTCAAATAAGATTATAAAATAGTATAGGCTATGTGATAATTTTTGAAATAAGTTCTGACAGATTTACCTGATAAAAATATTTTGGTTAAAAGTTTTAGGCTAAAAAGAGTAGTTCCTATTGTTAAATACTCAGTAATATTTGTAACATATTTTTTGTAAAAACAAATCAAGAGAATTCCAATTCAGATTTTATTTTAAAATTACTTCTCTTGATTGATAATCCTTTATCTGTTTATTGACTAGTTTTTGTACCTTGAGACTAAATCCAATCAAGCATGAAACTTACTCCAATGTTAAGAATACAAATTTAGTCACTCTTTTCTCTACTCAGCGATTCTGGCCATGATAATATACTAAATAATTTTTAATTGCAGAAAGCATGGGGCAGGTCAGGGGTTTTGGGGTTTTGGGGTTTTGGGGTTTTTTGGGGTTTTTGGGG